CAACAAGGCATGCCCGAAAGATAGCTATCCATTGCCACGAATTGACCTCCTCATTGACACCACCGCAAGACATGAATTGCTCACCTTCCTGGATGCATATTCTAGGTATAACTAGATCAACATGCATCCTCTAGATCAGGAGAAGACATCGTTCATCACTCCAAAGGGGACCTATTGCTACAGGATCATGCCCTTCGGGTTGAAGAACATAGGAGCAATCTATCAACGACTGGTGAACAAGATGTTTCAGTCATAGATCAGAAAAATAATGGAGGTGTACGTGGACGACATACTAGTAAAAAGTTTCACAGTAACAGACCACATTGACCACCTCTAAGAAACTTTCAACGTTCTCAGGTCATACCACATGAAGTTGAATCCTAAGAAGTGTGTCTTTGGCGTAGGCTTAGGAAAGTTCCTTAGCCTTATGGTCAACCAGAGGGGTATTGAGGCGAACCCTAAGAAAGTCACTGTCCTTGACCAAGGAACGCCTCAATAGGAGAATTGCAGCACTCAACAGGTTCATTTTCAAGTCTGCACACAAATTCTTGCCTTTCTTCAAGATTCTCCATAAAGCTTTTGAGTGGGGACCTAAGGCAGAGGAGGCCTTTCAAAAGCTCAAAGCTTGTTTGGTTTCACCTCCCCTCCTCTCATATGCTACACCAGGTGAGACATTATATTTGTACCTCTCTGCTTCCCCGGGACGGAAAGCTCTGTCCTCATCAGAAACTATGATGGAGTGCAAAGTCCAACTATTATGTAAGCAGAGCATACCAAGGAATAAAATTCAAATATTTGGGGCTAGAAAAGCTAGCACTCACCCTCATCTCAACAGCTAGGCATCTACGATATTATTTCCAGAGTCACACCATGGTTGTGATCACAGATTAGCCTCCAAAGAGAATCTTCGAAAAATTAGATGTATCTAAGAGAATCCTCAAGTGGGCAGTAGAACTAGGTGAGTTCGATATTCAGTACCAGCCAAGGGTAGCCATTAAAGCGCAAGCCTTGGAGAATTTTATTGCTGATGTTACACTAGCAGAGGAGAAGACCAATGAGCTCTCCATACTTCAGACATCGAGCCTGGACGTGCACAACAATCTAACGTCCGGCGAGGAAAACCAGATGCCAGACGAGGACAACCAGACACCTGGAGAAGACTCCCAGGCACCCAGGCCATCCTAGGTGCCTAGATGCCTAGGCTAGGCGCCCAGACCCTCCAACTAGCACCCCAACCTGTTCCCACAGCTATCTTCGAGCCTTCCTCTCTACCCCTCTGGAACCTTTATGTGGATGGCTCCTAGACCAGTAAAGGAGGTAGAGCAGACTTAATCCTGATCAGCCACGAAGGCACCCCCATCAAGTATGTCATGAAGCTCCACTTCATTGCCTCTAACAATGACGCAGAATATGAGGCCCTTTTCTCTAGCCTAAGGTTGGCAAATGAAATGGAAGCCCAACACCTGATCACTTACAGTGATTCACAATTGATAGTTAACCAAGTAAGGGGAATGTTCGAAGTAAAAGAAGCCAAAATACAGGAGTACCTCAATATGGTGAAAGTCTTGATTGCAAAGTTCCAATATTTTCAAATTTGTCATGTCTCGAGGGAGGACAATATGGCTGCAAATGCATTCACCAGGCTCGCCTCATCTTCGGAAGTCCCTCCAAGACTAGCATTCATTGGTCACCAGTTCGACGCAAGCAAGTTTGACATAGAAGCCACGAACGTCAATTGTGCATCTGCCAAATCAAATTGGATGACCCCGATAAGGGCATATCTCATGGAGGTTATATTGCCAGATGATCCCTCAAGGCCAGAAAGCTCAGAATGAGAGTCCAAGTTTACTATTTTACAAGATACCTTTTACAAGAAAAGCTATTCCTTCCCGTTACTATGGTGCATTTCACCTAAAGAAGCTAACTATGCCTTGCAGGAAATCCATAAAAGAGATTTATGGGAACCACTCTGGAGGACGCTCTCTCACCCATAAGACGTTTAGACAAGGCCACTTCTGGCCTAGCATGGTGAGGGATTCCCAAGAATTCGCCAAGAAGTGCAACAAGTGTCAACGTTTTGCCATTATGTCCTGGCAGCCGCCAAAGAAACTCACGGTCATCACAAGTCCGTGACCCTTCTCCAAATGGGACATCGACATCCTGGTCCCCCTACCTCTTAATAGAGGACAGTGCAAGTTCGTGGTGATAGCGGTGGACTACTTCACTAAATGGGCAGAGGCCGAACCCTTAGCAAAGATAACAGACAGAAAGGTGAAAGATTTCATCTGAAAAAAACTGGTCTGTTGCTTTGGAATACCCCACGCCATTGTCAGCGACAACGCCAAACAGTTCGACAACAAGCTCCTGAACTATTTTTGCTCCGACCTTCAAATAAAGCAGCCTCATTCTAGCTCGGTGCACCCGTAGGTGAACGGACATGCAGAAGTCATGGTGAGACTGGTACTATGCAACCTAAAAATAAGGCTTGAAAAGACAAAGGGTCTTTGGGTTGACGAGCTCCCAAGCGTATTATGGGCCTATCGGCCACACCAAGAACTCCAATTGGAGAAACCCTCTTCTCCCTCGGCTTTGGAACTGAGGAAGTCACACTTGTGGAGATTAAGGTGCATTCTCTAAGGGTCCAACACCACAAACCCATCACTAACGAGGAAGGACTCTACATCAACCTCGACTTGGTAGAAAAGGAAAAGGAGATGGTTGTGGTCCGTAACACGGAGTACAAGCGTCGTATGACAAAGTACTACAACTTGAGAGTAAAGCCTCGTTCCTTCCAACTGGGAGACTGGGTCCTCAAGAAAGTGATCCTAGCCACAAAGGATTCACAAGAAGGAAAGCTGGGACCAAGTTGGGAGGGACCCTACGTCATAACAAAAGTGGTAAGACTAGGCACCTACAAGATTCAAAGTTCTGAGGGGAAGGTTTTGTCCCATCCATGGAATGCCGTGCACTTGAAAAGGTACTACCAATGACACCTTGAGAGAGTCAAAGTAGAAAAGTTGGGGACTTGGTTTTATTTTTTGTACGTTTTTGTGGGGATATTACTCAATATTCCTTTACATAAGTAGTGAAATGAATAAAACTTTCTAGATTTGCTACAGAATGATTTTTGCATTTTTGTATTCAACTTCTCAACTTCAAAGGAGCATTAGTGGCAAAAACCACATTTACAAAAGTAGGGCTACAAAATGCTTTCCTGAAAAAAAAAAAGAGAGACAACCAAAAAGTCCCTAGCACTCTAACTACTCTCATGGTCATCATTCTCCTCCTTATCATCACCCTCGGCATTGTCAGAGCCTCCATCACTATTATCAGACACCTCAGTTGGCAAGACGCCCAAGACATCAATATCGGGGAAAGCAGCAAAAATCTTTCCCAAGAGCTCCTCATAACTGTCAATGAAAGCATCTGAAATGCCATTCTCTAGGTCCGTCTCAGCCCGAAAAGCTCTCTCTTTAACAACCTTCACCTCTGCCTCTGCGGCAGCCTCTCTGAGCATGTCTCTCTTTCGTGGGTCTCTACAAGCTCAGCCTCACTGAGCATGACCCTCTCACGAACCTCTGCAAGCTCAGCCTCGAGCTTGGCCGCCTTCTCATGGGTCGCCAAAAGCTCAGTCTCAAGACCAGTCACCCTCTCACGGGTTGCCACAAGATTAACATCAGAAGCCTTTCCAGTAGCTTCAAGCTCGACAATCCTCCCCTGAGCAGGTAAAAACTCATTTTGCACGACTTCATGTTTGTGTTTTAGTTAGTGATAAAAGGAGGGTCCTTGAAAATAAACACATAGATGCAGTTGAGGCTTGAAGAAAAACAAAAGATAAAAGGATGTCAGACACTTATGGAAGGAAGGGAGAAAGGAAAGGTAACAAACCCTTACCTGAGCCCAACCTTCTAGAAAAGAGTTAAAGATTCTCTTAGTGCCCAAGGAACTAATCTCATTCACATCATTGGGGAACACAAACCTCCCAAGCCGATCCTTGATGATCCGCACGTTACCTAACATGGAGATAATCTGAGAAGGTGCCCAAGTAGAAGTCCCCATTGGAGGAGTGGATGAACGAGGGGGGTAGAAGGTGTGGCCAACAAGCGGGACTTTGGAGCAAGAGATGCAACTGAGGGAGTCTCCGGTAGAGGAGGCACCTCTGGAGGGGTCAATTGATGGGAGGGCGCCCGAGGAACTACTGGAAGGGTTGAATGAGGAGAGCTCATCTCGGGCGGTACCATTGGAGAGGTCACTTGGAAGACGTTGCCCCTCGCCACCTTGGAAGAAAGAGGACTCCTACCTTGGGAGCCCTCGCCTACCTGAGAGGCAAAACCCAATCATCTCCCTATCTACTGTTGCAAAGAAAATAAAGTGTTACTTAGATGAAAAACATCAAGTAAAGGAGGAAGGTACAAAGGAATCAATTTACCCTTCCTCTTCAAAGAGGAGCCGCTGAACTTCAGGGTAGCACGAACTCCAAGAGCACTTTTGGTCCCACTATCTTTGGATATAAGGACTTCAAAGTCTTTTTCAGTATAAGCCCTCACCACCTGCAGCTTCCACTCTTGGTCCCCAGAGAGTACAGGAGAATCTGCAAGAGAAATGATAAGTACAAAAAAAAAAAGCAAAGGAAAAAAGCAAGTGTAAGGCATACCAAGTTTTTTAGGGGCACCCCATGACAGTTGGACCGTAGACCGGTGATCAGCTTGTCTCACATGGTAAAGTAATACCAACCCCAATTGGAAACTAGGGTCCCACTCAAAGTATAAGCTCTATGAAACTCCACAAGAGAGACATCCTCATGGTGTACCTTTCTCCACAACACCAGAAAATACAGCAACACTCTCTAACTGTTGGGTGACAATCGCCCTAGGGTAAGTGAAAAATAATGGAGAATGCGACAAATAGAAGGAGAAATGAGAAATCTAAGCCCAGCCTCAAGCATCTCCTCATAGATGGCAATGTCTCCAGAAGAGCCATCAGAGGCAGGCTCACCCATCTTAGCTCGACGGCATAACACAGTTGAGAAAATTTGATGCAGAAACAATCCTTAGAAAATCATCATCAGTGTTGAGCAAACTAGAAGGGGTACTTATTTCGGACCCATCATCGTCAAGAGCTACTTTGCTTTTGTGCTTTTTGTTGCCAGAGCATGAGGAATTGCCTGAGCCACTACCAAGGAGACCACAAGGAATTTGACTTTTAGGAGTACCGCCTGAAGGAGTCGAATCATCCACTACATTCCCAGAGTTGTCACCACCAAAAGTACCCATGGCTAACTGGGTCTCACCCAACAGTAGAGAAGTCTCAACGGTTTGATTCTCTCGCTCGGACAGCTCGCCTCTCACCTGGCTTGCTCGCCCAATTGGGGTCATCGGGGCGCCTAACCTAACCTCTGCACGCCCATCCCCATAAGCTTGCACGCCAAAACTACTCAGATTGGCACCAAAGACTAGGCACCCTGTTGCTCCCTCCCCTACACAGACACTGAGCTCGTCTGAACTGCCCAAAACAGTGCCTAAATTGGCACCCAGGCCAATACCCCATACGCGCCCAATAGTCCGTGCTCCTGCACACCCAACCCTCACTCCCAATCTGCTCACTGCTACTCAAATCGGCATTCTGGACAGCACGTTACACCCCTAGATCAGCGTTGATCAGTGCCTATAGCTCACCTAGGACAGCTCCCTTATTCGCGCCCTTGGTTGTTGCAATGGGCAACGTTTTCACCCCACTAACACGGGCGCCTAACCCTTTGCCTCGCTCGCCTAGGCCCCCAGTCAGATGCCCGCTCGCCAATGGTGAGCACCTAGTAGAGGCACTTGGCTGAGATGCCATGCCCCCTTTGTTCGCCCCATCCAGGTGTGCTACGCGCCCCTCTACATGGTCATCCTCGGCAAAATCGCCTCCACCAACAAAGGGCAGCTTGCCCAACTCAACTCCACCATGGGCAAAAGACAGCTTGCCCAAACCATCTCCACCATGCTTGGCGGTGCCTAGAATTCACCCAAAGTGTCCACCGCCTTCAATGCTTGCTTCTCCTACTTTGATGTCAATGGGTTCTTGCATCTCACCTTCCTCAATGACAATGGATGCTTGTATCTCCTCCTCTCCAGTCAACATTGATTGCTCGGTGCTCAAACTCAAGAATATCAAGCCTTGGGTCCCCAAAGAATTTCAAGAAGATCATTTTCCTTCACTCACTCAAGTTTCTATGGAATGGATGAAGCTTGGGTTCTTAAGGGTTTCAAGAAGGATTTCAATCCCAAGATGAATGAAATGGGCAAGAGTGAAGAAGGAAGCTTCTATTTATAGCCTAGTGTTTTTAAAGAGGCAAAAGTCCCAAATTACAACCTACGACTCTTCAACAATGCAAAAAGGGGAGTGAAAGAAGGATTTTACATAGCTAATGGAGTCCCACAGGCAATAGGGGTCTACTGAAAAGGAGGAAATCGCTAATCAAAAGGATTTTTCAAAAAATTAGGGCTTAACTCCAAATGGGGCATATTATATATCAAATCGAAGCTCTCAATGAGCTCTACAAAACTCATTCCGTTGGTAATGAGCTACGTTGTAAAAAGTCCAAAAAAGGCCTAGAAACAAATATTTTGGCCTTTCGAAGTTTTTATTTTAAAAAAAAAATAAAAATTCAGCTGCCTACTCTCCCAAGAGGCTGTTCTCGCCTAGGACACTGTGTGCTCGCCCAAAACCGTGCACCCAGCTCCTTACTCGCTATTTTGATCATAACTTTCGCTCCGTTACTCTAAATGAGACCTATAATATATCAAATCGAAGTTCTCGGCAAAGCCTAAAATAAGCATAGGTTTTGGCCTCCCAAAGTTTTTCCAGTTATGCCAATCAGCTAAAAATTCAAACTCAAACTGAATGCCCTTCTTTTCAAGTTCCGTTAGATGCAGGGCATTAGAGGACAAATGATGGGTCAAGCCCAAAAGAGTCCAACTCATGTTATAAGCCCAGTCCGAGTTAAAGGCCTAACTCCAAGAAATCCACCAAGTCCAGCTCAAAATGGTCAACTTGGACAAGCTCATCAGGGAGCTATGTCACCAAGGGAGCATTCAGGAGCCTCACCCTCATCGCCTTGGAAACCGAATCTCAAGCACCATAACTGATTTGCTCGTTGTGAAGAGGTGCGCCTCCGCCGGATCAGTTACTTAATTACCATAAAGTCACTCCAATTCGTTATGACCGCCAGACTAGCTATTCAATTACTATGCTGAGAGATATAAATTGTAAGCCCCACCAACACTTGGGGGCATCTGACTTATTTGAGCGTAATTCTCTCCAAAGCTTGTAACCATTTGCTCTCCCTCCACAATCGAAATTAATAAAATTCCCGGCGATCCTTGTCATTCCAAGTAGACGTAGGTCACTTTGACTGAACCATTATAAACTTGGTCTTTTCTCTCCCTCTACCTTACTGCATTTTATACTGCTCAATTGACAAGTGGTGCGTAAACCAATTTGTGCATCATCAGTACTTAACCTACTCATCAATACAAATTTCTATCATTCTTGATTTTACTTAATTAACGTACTCATTAATAAAAATTTCTATAGTTCTTTGCTAATACTAACAATCAGGATTTGCATGCTGAATCATTCCTTCTCTTTCACCTTCTCATGCGCAAGAGCGGAGTCAACGGCCTTGCTTTGCTCACTCGTTTAAGTCACGCAAGAGTTCCAAAAGAAGTCCAACCTTTTCCTTTTGAATAGGAGAATTTTTATTTTTATTGAAATAATCTAATGATTTACTTCTACAAAATGCGTGCCATATGCAGGAGACTTGTATGCTGCATGCGGCAGTTTTACTTGGCTGAAGGTGAAAATGCAAAAGTAAAATTATCTGGTTATGAGTTTGTAATGGATGCATTATCACATCCTAAATCAAGAAAGAAACAAAAAAAAATTAATTTCAGATGTTCTGCCAGAAATTGAACCACAAAATTCCAAGGAAGAACCCTAAGGAGGCTACAGGGAGAGATAAAAGCTTAGAAAAAAGGATACAGAAGTTCTCGCAATTATTGCAATCTCATATTGATATAAAGATTACAAAAAGTTATTTTCTTATGGCCCAAGGTTAAGCTACTAAATCAAGCACAAGAACGTCAAGTTACAAATGCAAGAAAACGAAGGAGAAAAAAAGCTCACAGATCAGAAAGGTGAATCTAAATGTTGGAAATGTCGTCGAATTGAAGGGTTTTCTGGCTTGAAACCTCCCATAAAAAATTCCAGTGCCGAATAGATATTCATCAGGTTGAAGTGCACCTGGGTGGTATTTTTGAAATACCTTGACGTTGCAGTTCGTCCACCACAATATCAGTAGATGGAGATTTTAGTCCAAGGGGAAGTGGCAGCCATGGCTTTGATAAAACATCTCCAATAGTTGCATCTATGCTCTCCTTCGACTGTTGCATGTACAACCAGGAGGGAAAAACGAAGTCAGAATATCACATTTAGATATGTTGCAGAGATTATTCCAAAACCCTACAGCATTTATTGATCAATCGTATTCTAAGGCTCTTGTAATTCTTTTCTAAAATTACTTCAAGGAAGAGAGCAGCTGATAATCCCCCAAATTTCAGATAATTTAGGTAGGTGAAGATGTGCTGTGAAGGTGCAATTAACGAGATACAAAAGTAAGCAAACAAATAGCATACAAATTTGCATGGTTTGAGAGAAATATATTATATCCATTGGAGTAGCTGTTTTTCATTACGTAAGAATACGGGTTATAACTTAGATATTGACACGAATTGAAATCTTAATCTTGATGCATTGCATATTGCATAATGCATAAGAAAAACTCAATATAAAGTGGACATTCTAGACTAAGTGAACAGTTGAAAGAGAAACACACAAGATCCCATCTCCCCTAATTAGGCTTGGCAATTCTAGGCAAAATCTGTATACCCAACATAAACTTGGACATAAAATTAGCAAGTTTCAGTTTAGTGTTATAAGTTTTAGACGTTAAACGAGTGTGAATTTGTTAGACTCATTAAATAAATTGGTTGAACACGAACCTAATTAATCACAACACAAATACACCACATATTATTTTATATATGATATGAATTTAACAAGACACGAACTTAATGACTTATGAAACGATGCATGAAGCGATGGCTAGATACATAATAATTTTAATCATACAGTGGAATAAGGTAATTCAAGCAGCGAAGCAAGGCATTCTCACAGGATGAAAGTCGAATGGCGGGCGGGAGCATGTTTGTCCCGTCGGAGCAGCCGGGACACCAATGCCAGGGTCGACTTTGTACATGGCATGTCGTGGAATGCTGGGGACCGGTCCAGTCGGAAATCTCTGCATGAGTTGCCAAAAAATAAGCCAAAAAAGAATAGTGCTTCTGCACGAAGTGTATGATTAAAGGTGTTGTATAAGAGTCCAAACTCATGGTAATTGCACTTAAAATACTTCCAAAAATTAAGGAGTAATTAAGTAGTTACCATTGGTGCCAGTGTGGGTGGGAAGCAAGGTGTCCCTGGTGTTGGAGCAATAGGAACCTACAGCAAACGAATAAGCAAATTGAGAGAGAGAGAGAGAGAGAGAGAGAGAGTCAGAGAGATCATTAATTACCCTTTGGCGGGGTGGGTGCCAGAAAGAAGGGTCTGCTGGTGGTGGATGAAGAGGTGGAGCTGGTGGCCATGTAGGTGGCTGCGGTGGAGGAGGAGAAGGTGAAGGGGCTATTTGTTTTGGCCAAATGTGCACTAACGATTGGTCGACGGATGGATGGCCCCACACGTGCAACGGTCTAAAATGGTGCATTGGTGCCATTGGAGGGAAGCCCATGGTGGGTGCTACCCAAAGGCTCATCTCTCTCTTGTTTCCCCCTCCTCCTCCTCCGGTGGTGCCGCCACCATACAGTTGCCGTCTCTGGCTCCAGCTTGCTGCCTCGGCTTCTCGAGCTAGCAAGTGTTTCCGATGTGATCGGTATTTCTGCACAAATAATCATTTTCCATTCTAAGTTAGAATCTGCCTCCTTGTTGCTCAATCAAGACTACTCTTACCATTCATTTTAGAAAATAACGAGACAAAGTATGTAATTAAATATTTCAGCAAGAAGAAGTCATCCAAGTTTTACATGTGAAAATTGTTGGAAACGCGCTTGTGAGAGGCAAGAGCACTCCCTCATGGAGTATGTAAAGAAATCCAATCGAGCTCATATATAAAGTTTGGAACAAAAATCATTTTGCACTTGATCTTTTCACTCCGGTGAAACCCATATGTGAGATGCAAGAGCAATTTCACATCAGGTAATTTACTTAAAGAACACAAATTGATCAGTATATTCGGGATTCAAGCAATACTTGCAAGGATATAAAAACATGATTTTTTTTTCCAATTTCTAAAACAAACTATATTATTAAGAAAAACATTATTGAGGACCTAATTTAAAAGTGAATTTCGAACTTTAAAAATCACAACTAATCTAATGACTCTATTGAATTAAGTTCTATGACATTACTCTATTCTTAATGTCTAGAAAAAAGAGAAATCTTGATAAAAATAGCTTTGTCATCGTCTGGTTCCAGAGAGAAAAAAAAAAACATGGGGATGGAAACAAAACTTGAAAAGCATTTATTTCTTGTTGTATGGACATGTATCTAATTTGTGTTTTCTGGTACTCCAGACCCAAACACTTCACAAAATCTTAGACTCTCCAAATCTTACATTCTCGATCCTAAAGCAGTATTGTATGCTTACAAAACAATATATAAATATAATTTGTAAATTTTCCCCATTGTCTTGACCATGATTTAAAACAGGATATTAGGCTATTAGAAATTCTACTACATATAATACCATAGATCTAAGAAACATTGGCCATGGCCCGTGATATAGGAAAGCTTCTCCATTTTTTGTGAAATCTTATTTTCCATAACATCAAGAAAGAGGAAACAGAAAAACACAGACGAAATCTAAAAACCAAAAAAGTCATTAAAAGCTGTAAAGCTTCTAGTTATGAAAAGAAAAATATGTACAAGAAAAAAAAAAGTGAAGAGAAAGGACATTATGTACATACTTGAAGATGGCTAGCAATGTTATGGCGAGTAAGACAATCTATTCCCATAACCTCCAGAATTCTTGAAGGGACTGCCTTATCCACACCCAGCTGCTCCACTGCTTGTACAAATCGCCTGTGCAGCTCTGGTGTCCAATCCACCTACACACAATTCAACATATTATATATTTCTCTAGTGTTTTCTCTCTCTCTCTCTCTCTCTCTCTTTCTCAATCCAAATTCTAAAAGGACCCAAAAGACTTGGTAATAGAAGCAGTCTGCTTTTGACAACAATGTCTAAGATGGATTCAGAAACACCCATGTTTCTCGTGAGGTTTTGATTTGCAATCTATGAGGCATGTGAAAATCCTAAATATTTTTTTTTTTTTTTGGGGGGGGGGGGGGGTGGGAGATGGAGATATACATAGTTATATATATGCACGCAAACGCAGAGAGAGAGAGAGATTGTTTCATAAGAATTAGGACTATGGCATGGTACAGGATCTTCAGCGTTTAGTAACAAATAAACCTAAATATGTAGATGATGTTAGATTGAACCCAGTACAAATTACCTTCACCTTCCTCTTCCCTTGAGAATTCTTAGACTGTGTTGATGATTTTCTTCCTTTATGAACTTCCTTTGGAGATCCATGAACTCCAACAGGCTCATCTCTCTTACTTACAATTTCCTCTCCTTGGTTCAAGCTTGACCCTGAACCAAAGCCCGAACCCGAAACTTTGTCCTCCTCATCTTTCACTGAATTATCATCAGCCCTTTCGACTGATACTGATATGTTCATCTCCGACTCCTCACCTCCACTAGCTGACAACTCAGCAAGACTTTCTGGGTCCATATCCAAGTTTGGCAACGCATCTTCGTTGTCGATGTCGCCGAAAAAGTCATCGAAATCAATACTATCCAGCAAATTTCCACCGCAGAAGTCAGAAAATCATTCACCTCCGATCGAAAAAACTCTCCATCTCGCCCTCTCTCTCATCTCTGGTGTTCCCGAAAGGTGACACAGCAAGCATTCCAAAGTTCTTAACTGGATCAACAGTTCAAACGCTCCCCCTCCTCTCTCTCTCTCTCTCTCCCCTCTGTATCTATATGTGCATATATAGTCACTATATGGTGCAACTAGGTGTTATATATTGCATGCAATCCCCACCAGGTTATAAAGAAGGGGTGAAGAGATTGAGAGAGTGGTTCTCCGGTGAGTCTGACGGAAATTGGTCGGAGGGACAATCAGTGTTGGTGGGTTGTCTGGTTTTGCTGTTTTCTTGCTTTCAGTGTAAGTGGAGCGTGGA